AATGGAAAAAAAATAGGCGAAGTAAGAAGTCCAAATATTTTACATGAGCAGGCTTAAGAGGTAAAGAGGCCAATTATTATTGTATAAATTGCTCGAACAAGTTTTTAAACCCTAATCAAAAGGCGATATAGAATGGTTTTAAAAATCAAGGCTCGTGAAAATCATCACATGGTTTAACCTAAGTAATGCCAATGCTTCACAAACCACAAAATTAAACGTGCTAATACTACTATCGGCTTTCGGAATTTCGTTCCAAGTTAAATCATTTCTCGTTTTTGTTACGCTACGAGTTTACCCTTGTGGGACTCAGTCTCGATAAGGTGGGAACCACCATTTTAGCATCTCTCGAATTTAAATTGTCTTTGAATGTTAACAAAACAAACTACATTGTTTTTTCAAAGATAGTGGCTGATCGACCTCAATTTAGAAGCTTAAAATGTCAAAATTTAGACATACAGGAAACAGAAACATCCAAATATTTAGGTATAATTATAGACCATCACTTAAAATGGGACTGCCATATAATATATAGCAAAAAACTTAGATTTATGATTTATAAATTGTATTTTCTAAAACAATTTCTCAACCAGGATCTACTAATAACATTATATTACAGTCTAGTAGAATTTATACTACGGTACGGAATCTTAGTATGGGGAGGCCTGTATGACACTACATTAAATCAGTTAAATGTTATTAAAAACAAAATGTTTAGTCTGACAAGAAATGTAATATTCGCTGAAGTCTTATAAAAAATTCGGGACTAGATTTCAAATTAGGTACAACATTGAGAGTGTCATCTGAATTTTTCTTACAAAAATATTCATCGCAATTCGAATGTTGCCCAAATATATGTAGAACAGAATTATCTATATCCTTTTTTAGCAATAAAATATGTTGAGAACTGCCTATATTTGTGGTATTGTTTGTAATCGATGTTCTAAATGGAATATTTTGGGACAATAACTTTCTTAATTTTATTGGGAAGCGCGTATTCAGGGAAAGTGTTTTTAATTTATTTGAAAAATTTCTGAGTAAGTGATTTCTACACTCGATTTTTTCAACAGTTAAATTATCATAGGGCCTATTCTCTAAAAATTTTTTATAAGTGCTACTATCACCATCAGAAATTAGCTTTGTATATTTAATACCATGCAATTTTTCGCTATGATTAAAACCCTCTAATAAAATGGTGGATTCTATTCCTGTAGAAGTTCCAGTATAGTTTTTATAGCATTTATGTTCAATTTGTTTATTGGCTAAACAAATCGAACAAAACTTATTTTTCACAACTAGATATAAAACTTTTCCAAATCGGTGACCTATTATTGTGGCTGCACCGGAGAGGGCATTGTAGTTTGATCTATAAGACCTTTTAGACCAGCATCCGTCTGCCACAACGGTTATTAATGGAATTCCATTTTTATCGACCTGCCCGATTTTCTTTGGATAATCTGCCTCTGCTTTTACTGCTATCGCCATTTGTTTGCTTGCTGTTTGTTCCCACGCATCGCTAATATGATTGTGACATTTATTGTACTTAATTTGCGACATAAATGGTAAATTGAGTACACTAAATAGTTCTTCAGTATTCCAGAAACCTAAACCTACACATGCTCATATGACTACTCAATAACTATCAATTTAAAGAGTGTTGCAATTCACTACACCTTAAAGTAGCTCTGCCGGTAGGTAAGCTGCTTTAAAACTAATAAAATTAAATCTTAAACCGAAATTCTAATAACTCTAAAATCGCTATTACCAAATACCCTAGCAATATTTTAGTCATGGTGATTAGTGATGAGCAAAACAAGATAAGACCGGGTTGGTCTTGGTATTGGTCTTGCACAGCTAGGTCTTGGTCTTGGTTTTGCTGCAAGAGTCTTGCGAGTCTTGCATTTTTTGGTAAATCTTAAATACTGCTACTTAAATAAATTATTGCCATTAGAGGCTTAATGCACATTATAAAATCAGGAACTACTACGCAAACAGTAAATATATAGTTATATTCTAAAGCTTGTGGTTTGTAATTGTAAATAAACCACATATTTTTTATTCAAACCTTTTTATTAAACGTTTCCAAAAATATTATTTTTTTTGTTTTTAAGTATAAACTTAATGTACAGCGTGTAAAAAGCTGTATACAGTTTTAAATATTAAAATTATAAATGTGTCAATTAGTAATTTTTATATGCTGTACACTTGAATACGAAAAAAGAATAAAAGCCTAATTTTTTCGAAACGTAGGAAATAAAAAAAACGGTAAATCCAATAAAAAACAAAAATTGTATCCTTAAATCAACAAAAACTGCCACCGATAATTGAACCTGGATCTTCCAGACGTATGGGATTAAAATAAAAAGTATGTTGTAGAAAATGCATCACGATCTTAAAGAAAAGAAAAAAGAAACACTTAGTAATTTACCAAAAATTCATGATCCAAATTACTCAAGAATTGAAAATAATTATTTCTGACTCAAATTTAGTCTTTTAAATATTTTAAAAATCAATTCTCATTAATACTAAAGTAATAGGAACTTCGGAAAAATATTTTATATGTACTAATTTAGTTTCTTACCTAAAATACCATCTAAAATAGACCGAATAAAAGTTTTTACTTTAGCCCTATTTAAATTAAAGCCCGTGGTTTTTAAATTCTTTCTTCTTACCACAATATTTAAAATCCAACTTTTTAATAACAGACAATACACCGCGTATCGAATCTTTCAAATTATACTGAGTCCATCCCAAAACAATATTTGTCTATCCCGGGTCCTATACGCATTGCGTTCGGTCTGCCAAGTTCCTTTAACTCCTTTAACACTTTTAACTCCAAACGACCCTTTTAGCGTTCGGTTTAGTCCGATTAGTGACAGTTTAACACGCTTAAATATACACTTTCCAAAATAATGCAAAGTTTATCAGAATATTCCAAGAATAACGGACTTAATACATGGATTTTTTTTAAATAGTTTTTTTTTCTGTTTCTTGCATAAATTGTTCAAGTTTTATTTTTTATTTAAAAAAAAAGGGTTTTTTTTATTTCCTTTATAATTCATTAAATATAGTTGAAGTAGAATTTTAATTTTTGTCAGCACATACAGGTGTTCTCACCTAGGTGCTTGTTATTATATAATTGGTTTCCATTATTGTACTTTATTGTAACTTATTTATTATTGTAACTACCTTATCGAAGATAGTAGAACGGCTAATGAAAAACCGTCTTTTGCCCTTTCTTTTCAAGCATAACATCCTCACAGCTCATCAGTATGGCTTTCTACCTAAAAAATGCACTAGCGACGCAATGTTTTCCGTTCTTAATGAAATATACACATCACTTAATGATAAACTTTTCACCGCTTCAGTATTTTGTGACTTCGCAAAGGCCTTCGATTGTGTAAATCATAATATTTTAATTAATAAGTTACAAATTTATGGCATACGGGGTTCTCCTTTACAATGGTTTAAAACTTACCTAGAAAATAGAAATCAACAGGTGCGGGCGAATGGTGAGGATTCTACAAATCTAGCAATAAGCAGTGGAGTACCTCAAGGATCAGTATTAGGTCCAATTTTGTTTTTATTATTCATCAACGACATCACAGACTTAAGAATAAGTGGTAGAATTACTTTATTTGCTGATGACACCAGTGTAACCTGGAATAATTCTAACATGCAGACATTACAATCTATCATAAGTGAAGATCTAGTGACTATTAAGTCCTGGTCTGATTCGAATGGACTTTGTTTCAACACCAGGAAAACTGTAGCATTGTCTTACAGAGGTACTTTACAACCTATAACTTTAAACAATAATCTGATCCAAACGGTGACTTCAATCAAGTTTTTAGGTCTTTATATAGACGATTCTCTAAAATGGTCTGCTCATATAGATACCTTAGCAAAAAAATTATCCTCCGCATGTTTTGCCATTAAATCGGTTTCTAAAGAGCTGACTCCTTCTACTGCATTAATAACCTACTTTTCCTTATTCGAATCTCACCTTCGCTATGGTTTACCTTTCTGGGGTTCTTGTAGCTTATACCTTTTCGAATCTATTTTTAAACTGCAAAAAAGAGCAATCCGCTATGTATTTGGTTTAAGTAGTAGGACACATTGCGAAAATTACTTCAAAAATTTCAAAATTCTTACCCTTCCTGCTCTATTTATTTTCGAATCCGTCTGCTTAGTTCGCAAGCACATTCAAAATTTATCCGAAAGACCGACTCGTAGATATCCTACAAGAAATTTAGAGACTGATGTTTATTTAACAATGCCCACTTCTGACCTATTAAAACATTCCATTACCTACAATGCCAAAAAATTGTATAATAACCTTCCGATGCAATTAAAATCTATAAATACATACGATAAGTTCCGAAGACTGGCTAAAGCTTTTCTTCTAGAGCATATTACACAGTAGCAGAATTTTATAACGTACCTTAGACATTTGAGTTCCACATACAATGGCATTAATTAAATATTAAAGTTTAAATTTAAATATGTATAATGACGGATATTGCATATCCATTGCAATTGTTATTCCTATTTTGTCTGTTTGTTTCTGTTTGTTTTTAGTATTGTTAGTATTTAAGTTACACGCTTTGTCTATAAAATTTTTGTAATTTTTTTTACGACAATAAAGCATATCTCTCTCTCTCTCTCTCTCTATCTCTATCTCTATCTCTCTCTCTCCTTATAACTATTAAACTATTATTAAACTATTATTAAACTATTACGCAAATATTGGCTATCTCGAACACATTTTCATTATATCATGTACATTAACTTATATTTTATGGTAAATAAATCTAATTTATTATTAACTTTTCAAAAATAATCTAGGTGCTCCAGAGAAACCCTCAAGACTGCTGCCTACTCGAGGTCTATCAAAAAATGCAAATACTGGAGTTTCGTTGACAGGTGCCATGGTAGTGACGCCTCGAAGACACCGATCCTTACCTACTTACCTCATCTGGGATCAGCTCATTATGGATGAAAGATTTCTTACAAATTTTTTCATGTATTTTAACGCCGGCGAAAGATGTATTTTAGCACAGGTGAGAATAATTATTTTACATAATTTTTTGTAATTATACCTGCAATGATGGACATAGGCTCCGAATCCCCGGGGCTCTGGCTATTTAAAACTCGGGGGTTATATTCTAGGTAAAAATACCTTTAATATACCATTCGACCCCTCTTTTTGTTTAAGATTTTAGGGGCTATAGAGGGTTTCAGTTCAGGAGGTGAAACTGGCAAAAAATGTTCCTCCTGAAATCAAAAATTGACCGATCCGAGCGTTTGTTCGTAAATGACATGAAGTGCATAAAACTGGTTTTGTTTCGTTTTCAAATGTACACCCTGTGTATATATACAATACTCCATTATATGTGTATTAATAAATCATCAAAAATCTCCTTCTAAATTCATGATAGTTAATAAATGTTTTATATTGTGTTTCCACTTATTTCATTGGTACTCTAGCACCGCGGAGATCGCTGGTCGAACTACGCTAACGCGATGTTCGGCCATCTGCAATCGTGTGCGGAAAAGTATCACTTTCCGCACTTGTTAGATAAACTACTATTTTAAAACTGATATACAACTTTTTAATAGTGTAGAAACTAATAGTATAACGTTTTTGTTAGAAGTTGTTCAGTAATATTTAACAAGAGTTGTAGCCAAAGTTAATTTATAAGATACGTATAACTAAATTAAGTTGTTTTATAATGTACAATTATGTAGTTGTAGTTGTTATAACGTTTCTATAACTTTTAAATTACAACTACTTTTAAAACATACACATTCACTTAATAATACAGTTGTAATACCGTTGTAAACTGTAGTTACTATTAGCCTTATCCGGAAAATTATTATATAGTTAATAAAACTAATACAAACTGCTTCAGTGGTTCTTTTGTTTTAAATTATATAATACACCGTTACTATAGAAGTTGTACAGTGGTTAAATATGTACGAGGTCTGATCAAAAAATAACGTTGATTTTTTATTTGTGTCTTGTACCGTGGATTACTGTGAATTTATAAGCATAAAAAGTTTACTGCATATACTGAAAAACCAAATATAAGAACCCTTATTAGTGTTTTAAGTACGTCTAGGCGTCTAGAGCTGACTTAGAAGCTTCATCGGATGTAAATATATCTGAATTAGAGTTGGAAGTTCAGGAAGATTGCCATTCTTTGACCACCATTAACCCACACTATTTACTGAAAATCCTAGTAAAGCATAATATTTTACACAGCGCAGTTAAAATTATTGCAACACAGACAGGCTTAGAAGTGCATCAGACAGAAGATTAACCACTAACGATGGAAGAATAAAAAAAAAATCATTTGTAATTTTAACAAAATGTTTCAGTGTTTATAGAAAATATGTGTTTTATTTTGTATAGAAGGAATTTACAGAATTTTTTAAAACTAAATCCGAGAGTACGTCTTACCAATGTCGAAAAACAGACATATTCAAGATGTCTTAAAAACGGTACCTTTTGTAACATCAGACGTCTTAAAGATGTCTTTAAGACGTCTGGCCGGCATCATAAGACGTCTTTTAGACATCTGTCATGTCTCTGACAGATGTCTTTGTGCTGTCTGGGATAACAGAAAAAAAAATGCGAAAATCGAACATACGTAACTCACGAAATTTGAAAATAACGGTTATTTTTTGATCAGACCTCGTATATTATTTTATTCCTAGAATGGTTTATTATCTTTCTGAGGTTAAGAGTTAGGAATACCTGCTTTATAAAGTTTAGAAGAGAATTATTATGTATCCGAAAAAATGGTGGCTTTTATAGATGTAAAAAAAAACTATTTAAACTGGACGCATCAAAGTACATTGAAGAACATTTCAAACACAGATCCGCAGTACCTACCTACCTACCTATGCAATAAAACCATCTGTTGTTTTCAATTGAAATATTCGGAATTGTGTTCCTTGTAATAATTTCTAAGATAGTTATAAAAAGAAACAACTATTAAAGACCAAGAAATATTGCAACAGAAATTGATATGAAAATAGGGACCAATAACTAAAAATATGGGCAATAACAAAAAAATAAAGTAGGTTACTTACCACATAAAATTGTAAATAAATTAGTGAGAGTAATTATATACACAATTAAAATTAAACAACTACCAAAAGATGCAAACTCTCAGAAAAATAAACATAGTTTTTATGGGTCCAGAAACCAATAGTATGTTATTATTTAAAAACGATTGAAATACTCCTAAACGATTGCAAATTTTAATAATGATGTTATAGTGGATTTTATTTGTTTCACTAGTGTCACACTCTGTATTCGAACTGTCATACTTATCAAAAGTATATGCTACACTCAAGTATGTGTCAAATATTTGAAGCTACACTGAACCAATCAAATGCGATTAGTGCAGAAAACTTACACCTAGTGCAACAAATAAAGTTCACTATGAGCAAAGAGGTTAGAAAGGGTAGAGGCAGAGACAATCCAGCGAGACGTGTAACTCAATGTATTTTTTTTGTTCGGTAAAAGTTATTTGGGCGATTGTAACCACAACCAGTCTACTAGTAAATAGCGGGAAAATTAAAAATGCTTTAGGGCGGGAAATTCAAACATGGATTCAGAAATAAAGTTTTTCTATACAAATTTACAGGAGAAACAAAAACTATTGTTTCACTGTATATTAAAAAAATAAAAAAGCTTCCAATAACATCAAATTTTTGATCACATAAATAATCATTTTAATAAAGGAAGTTTTAATCAGTTTAATATAAACACTGAACATAGTTTTTATTACTCTTGTAAATTTCGCTAAAAAAAACTTGAAAATTCTATTGATTATTAAATATTTAAACTTGGAAAAATAATACACCAAACTCTTTTTCTATAAATTATATTTTTGTAAGGTACAGAAAAACAAACTACAATTGCTTCGTTTAGAAAGTACCTCCTATCATTTTGTGACAAATTACAAAGAAAGTAACAGTTGTTATATATTCATAATATATTTAAAAACTAACGTAACAAATATTTTATAAAGTATAGTATCGATACCTTTTTGTCAGACTATCATAAGTGCCATTTGAACAAATGTCACTTATGTTAGTCTGGCAAAAAGGTATGGATATGTTATGACTGTTTATTTTAATAGAAACCATGGAAACGAAACACACATACACTCAACACAAATGTATAAGGCCCGAGTCAAGTAAGTTCCCATCCTGTAAACTGGATCGAAACCTGCTAACTCCTCTTATAGTAATCAAGATCAATATATTTATATGCCATGCCTTCTAGGAATGAAGGATGACATACTATCATCATTTAAACAGAACGTTGCTGAAGGCTTACCCCTGTTATTTCGTTTGTTTGTGTATCTTGTGTGTGTGCATTCCTGTTGTGTCCCCAGTCATGTAAAAGTTTTCCTAGTCTCCTAATTTGGTTACTAGGTGGACCTTCTCCAACTAGTAGTCTAATCTATTCAATCTGTTCAGAAGCAGGAGGTACTTTTCAAACATAGCAAATAATATTATTAATAATAAACACCAAAGATAAATACATTTTTGTAATTTTTTTGTCATTGCCCCTTACCTTTCTCTTACACCACCAGGGTATACCTATTTTCCATATTCCCTTAATTATATATTACCTTACAATATTCGAATGAATATAACATTTTACTCATGAAAAATCTAATTTCATATTTAACTCTTTTTCAATTTCATTTGAAACAATAATTGGTACCTATATTACAATTTATTATCAAAGAAAATTTCTAATAAAGTTATAGCAAATCCTACTTAAACTACTGGTTGTTCTGCAGGATAAATTAACTTTTCTTGAGATTGATCTCTCTATAAAATCTAAAACCGACCTGATGTCCCCAAATTTATTTTCCAATGCATCCCGATTGTGATTGTGATTCAATTTTTTTTCTTCCTTTAGAGTGGCTGTTAGAGGTAGGTGTATGTAAGAAATAGCTAATCTCTAATCATTTCAAAAGTCCTTTGCCAATACTACATGTGCAGATTTTTTACTCAGCATACATTTTACTTTTCTAGTAGATAGGAACTTTGTGCTGCCATTAAAGCTGTCCAGACATTCATCTACCTACTTAATGAACACAAGTAGCTGTAACAATGGATCTCTGTTCCAATTCACCTAAAATAATTATAGTCATTGTGTAATATATTATTAAACACACACATTATACAGTGGTTTTCTTAATAAATTGGAAATTACTTACCTCTAGAAAGAAATGTGTACAAAAACGCGAGTTTGGTTCCAGAAATTGCTTCATGCAAAAAATAATATGCAAAAATAAACATTCCCCCCCAAAGAAAATTAATTAAACAACAAAATCAGACTAAAAGAAATATACGGGGCCCAAATTAAATTAATTTTAATAAAATGCACATGTTCATAACAACATTCATAACATTGTCAGTTTTAATCAATATTTTGACGTCAAAAAACCAGCAACACCAGCGCCCTCTGAAAATGGTGTTAGTTTTATTGGAGAGAGATAGACATATGTAAAGATCAATGTAAAAGAAAAAGAGGGTCATATATGTAATTTAAATGGACCACCGAACATATTTTCCTATTAAGTTACACGGTATTCTCGGGTTACACGTCTCTGTTGTCTCTGGTAGAGGTAACATAGGAAGCATTTGTCACTGCGCGATTTTTGCCAAAACCAAAAAACTGGGTGGAAGGAGTAGGGAGATGTTCTGGGTCGGACTTAAATATTTGTATTGTAGTAATTTTGTAGGTAACTAAAAGATTAAAAATTATGAGACGTTTTTTTGACTTTATTTGTCAGCACGATTCAGTTATGATGAGGGCAATAACACTTTATCAATATATAACTAGCTAAGGGGCGATTCCACCGTTGTGTCAAATAAAGTTTAAATTACTAAATGAAGATTAAAATGACATTGTTAATGTAAAAATATCATTTTAAACTCCATTTAGTAATTATTTTATTTTTGTTAATATAAAAATGTCATTTTAATCTTCGTTTAGTATTTTAAACTTCGTTTAACAAAACGG